CTTATGTAAATTGTCCATGGGTGATACCCCCTATTGTTTCTTTCCAAATGTACTCCTAATGTACAAGGACCATCCTATACGGAGGTTTAACTCCACAGGGCTCTTTATTATTAAGACTTTTTACATGCATCTGGTGAGCAATAATGGAACTAGTATGGAGCTGCCTACAAAGCTGATCTGGAAGGTAAAGGCGTCTCCGCTAGTGAGTGTATGCTAACTTTTAGGAGAGGAAAAATTTTAGTTAATGGCTGCCACCTGTGCAAGAGTAGTACTGAATCGTGTAACTGTATCCTACTGTTGTGTCCATTTGTTTATGGTTTGTGGACGTTAGTATATGGTCTGTTGTGTATTAATTGAGTGATAGTTGGTGGAAAGAGGTTAAGTCTTATTCCCTTGAATACATACTGAGCCATCTAGAAGGAAAGAAATACGAAAGCTTTTGAGGGTACTTAATTGAAATTTGATAAATTCAGAGACATTTGGCTGTAGACCTTAGGTTTTTTAATTGAGGGTCATCCTCTTTAATCTTGTGAGGGGTCTTAGGGACCTTGTAGATATTTTTAACATGTAAATTTTGTCTATAGGTTGCACTTCTTTGATGTTTGTGAATAGATGATATTTTGAAAAAAAAACGAGAGAGATGGTACTGTTCCTAACTTCCCTACCATTAGACAACTTTTGGTCCAGGCCTTGTATTTTTTATTTAAAGATCTTCCTCTTTGCTGTAATTGATTTAGGGACCTTATTTATCTACTAATTGATTCTACCTCATAGTTGTTTCTTTTGTACATGCCCCGCACCCCTAGGTGCCTCTATTTATATTATTTCCTTTCTCCTCAAAAAAATAATTTTTACATTTTTCTTTTTTAAGAAATAAAAATATTAACGAAAAGAAAGTACTATATATTGAACCCATTGTCGAATTTCTTTTCCGTGTTTTTTGTTTTTCCACCTTGTGTATTGACTCCACTGATAAAATGATCTAAATTGGACCCTGCCAAAGACTACAAAGTAATCTCTGGGCTGCCTGACAATTTAAGAACAAATGGTTATTTCTCTTTGAACTCTGATAATATGTTCTACAATATCAGGAGAGGGAGCTCAATACAGTCAGTTGCATCTGCAGTAAATATTCACATTCTGTAAGTATCAGGAGAGGAAGCTCAATATGATCTGCATCTGCAATGATCATTAGTATTAGTCCTATCAATTACTGCAACTGAAGCAAAACATTAACCCCTGGGAAGACCTTAACCTCCTAAGAGTTATTAAAACCCACTGAGCTTGAAGTATTACTTACAAAAATTTAACAAATGCGAATTGAGTAACCAGAATTATCCGAAATCCAATGGTGATTATCAGTTCTAGATACTGGATGAAAGTTTTAAGCAATGGTAAGTAAAGCCGTAAATCTGTGGTCTCTCTATCATTATGGTTGCTAAAGAAATGAAAGTTCCAAAAGAATTGAGAATCTTGGTACATCATAAAGAAGATACATATTTTTTGAAATAAAAGAATAGAGAAGTATTTTTCACAAAGATAACAAGGAGATACTGCACGTATCCAAAAGTATTTACAAATCAATTAGGTGATCTATAATATTCCCAAAATCATCCAGTTTATTAATGTCATGATCCAAGAGCATAGAACTAACAACATAGAACCATTTATCTCTGATATTTTCCATTTCTTTCTCAACACCCTCAAGCTCTAGCATTTCTCTCATTCCAAACAACCCAAAAGATAGATAAAGGAATTAAAAGTAAATAAGATTTTTTTTACATAAGACCTTTCAACCACAAAACTCATCCCTGATCGATCCTGCTATAACTTAATTGATACCTAAAAGGTTATACACCATTGACCAAATATTATAAACCATAGGACACCAAAGAAGAATTTGGTTCCAAGATTCAGCCGGTATTTTACATAAGAAGCACCTGTTTGCCATGACTATACCCCTCTGCATCAGCTTATCAATTGTCAAGATATAATTCTTACACGCTTCCCAAGCAAAAAAAAAAAAAGACTCTAGGAGGGGTCTTTGTCTTCCAAATCTGTTTTGCCAGAAAATGACCTTCCTCATTTCCTTCCCCTCTTGTTAAGTGCCTATAGAAAGTTTTCATTGAAAAATTCCTTTATTACTCAATTTCCACATCAATTGATTGTTGCAATTTTGTAAATGGATCTTTGATGTACAAATTTTTGTATTCATCAACCCCTTAAACATTCAAATTTCTAATGACATTCACAAATCACTCCCTCCTACCACTCACGCCCGGATAATCCTCCTCCACCACCATGTTTCTTGAATTATCAGTGGCAAATATGTTCAGGAATTGATCTTTTAACCTACCAACACCAACCCATTGATCCTTCCAAAACCGAATGCTATCACCCCTCCCAACTTCCATTTTGTGCACTCAAAGAATTTTTGGCTCCCCACACTGATTTTTTTTCATAGGCTCATACCATGTGGTCTATTCACACTTCTGAATTCCCCCTCCACTTCCCCCTTACCCCACCTAGCCTTCACCACCTTTCCCACAATCTCCCCTCCTCTCTAGTAATTCTCCACAACCATTTTCCTTGAAGAGCTATGTTCATCTCAGCAATTGATCCCCCTCCTGCAATGATCAAAAGATAATCTATAAAGGCTAACAACACAGTATCGTAGCGGTTAAAACTCTTATGTTCTACTTGAAGGTCATGACCTCGTACCTCATTAAGAATATAGAATTTGCTATTTTATGGGTGTATTATAGGTTGGTAATAGCCCATCTATAATGTTTGATTTAATGATATCAATAACTTAGCTTATTAGTGTATTGATGTTGCTGCAATGACCAAGTTGTTTAATCTTAATGAATCTTTTATGTTTTTGGATGAAAAGAACATTTCAAGACGATCAGGTTTCCTTAACTAAGTAGCCACAACATATTCAAAACCTCATTGAACCTTTTTTTGAGTTAAAGATAGTGTATAAAGATGCAGGAACAAGGTAAATTATAGTGAGATTCCACCAACCAAGGATCCTTATGAATAGGAAAACATGATCCATCCCCCATCTTGTAAGAAGATAAGGACGAAAAGTGAATAAACCTGCAAGGAGAACTTCCACTATCTTTTTGTGAATCATGTTTAGGTCCATATTTGATAGCCAGTTCCTTTTAATGCTGGCTATACTTGCTCTTTACTACCCTATAAGTCAAAGGTTCCAAGAAAAAAAAATGCCTTTAGACCATCTGGCCACTAAAACAATATTTTTATATAGACCAGATTTCCGAGACCCAAACCCTCTTCCTTTATGTCTTATAGCACGTGTACCGTCTAACTGGATGATCTTTATCATCTCACCTAGCACCAGCCTAAAGAAAATACCTCATCATTTTCTTAATCTGTTTGCCACCTCTATCGGGATTCTTAACAAGGAAAAAAAAAATTAAGAATGTACTCAATAGATGAAAGAGCCTTCCTGATTTCCCTTCACTCCTTGCTTCACCCCACCCCAACCAAAAGAAACATATTTTTATGAGCATCCTATTTTCTTGTTTACCTCATGCATATACATATATAGATGTATATAAGTGATAGGTGCTGACCTTATTATAAGATATCATTAGAATCATGTGTTATTTTGGACCTTTGTCAAAATGAACCTTTTTTTTTAACTCTTTTCGGTTATGGAGATGTGGGACCAGAGCTAAAAGGTGGTTGTTAAGACTTAAAAGAATGCACAAGACAAATTTCATGTTATGGTAGTTAATTGTTATAGTGTAATAAGGCTAAAAATTTCAGGGCCAACTTAGAGTGCTCACATGTATTTTTGTTTATTCTGTTTCTCTGAATTTTGCTAATTTCTATCTCCATATTCAATGGGTATTCTAATTGTCATCTAACTAAAAAACATTCTCAAAGTTGACTTTTATCTCTTATCTCAAAAAAACAAAGTTGACTGTTATCTCATCCAGGTCAGGAAGATAGAGATGTTGAGCTAAAGCTGAGAAATTTTCAGCTTCACCAGTCAACCTCTGTCATCTACATTGTAGTCAATGCCTGCACAAGTAGGGATTACATGAAAAACATTGTTGGCGTGTGCTTTGTTGGCCAAGACATCACAAGCGAAAAACTCATGATGGATAAATTCGTCCGTCTGCAGGGAGATTACAAGGCTATAATTCAAAGTATTAACCCATTGATTCCTCCAATATTTGCATCAGATGAGAATGCATGTTGTTCAGAATGGAATGCGGCTATGGAGAAGCTGACTGGCTGGACAAGATATGAGGTTATTGGTAAAATGCTTCCTGGGGAAATTTTTGGAGATTTTTGTCGGTTGAAAGGTCAAGATATGCTGACTAAATTTATGATCCTGTTATATCGAGGAATTGCTGGTCAAGGAACAGAAAATTCCCCCTTTGGATTTTTTGATAGAAAGGGAAACTATGTGGAGGTGTTGTTAACAGCAAACAGGAAAACCAATGGCGATGGCAATATAACTGGATGTTTCTGCTTTTTGCAGACTGTTATGCTTGACATGCATAATGTCTCAGACGAAAGCAGTCAGGGCAGATTGTGTGTGTCAAAACTTAAGGAACTTTCTTACATACAACAAGAGATGAAAAATCCTCTCAATGGCATTCGGTTTACCCACAAACTTCTAGAAACTACAGTGACTTTGGAAAATCAGAAGCAGTTTCTTGAGACCAGTGATGCTTGTGAAAGACAAATCATGACGATAATTGACATTATGGACTTAGGAAGTCTTGAAGAAGGGTATGTCTTCTTGGTAGTTTTGCAATGTGCATCTTTTACACTTTTAGTACATTTTTGCAGTCCACAAGTTAGAGAATTTCAGTATTAATGAATTTTCCCAAATGAAGGAATCTGTTCTATTTTCGAAGGGACGCATGGCAATAATTTAATGCTCTAGTCCAGCTATCCATAAAGGACAGATATATTTTGTATAGTAATAACAAAGAAATGACTTATGGCTCCTTTTACTTTCTTCGATTTTTAATTGTGATGGGTAAGGACTTCCAGTTTACTCTTAACCTTGCAAATAATTTCTGGATAAAAAGGGTGGTGAAAGGAGATGCCAACAGATGAATTGACCATATCCATTCTTCACTCTTTTTTCTGAATAAGTATTACACTCATATAGGGTGCTTTCCTTATTAAATGTTAGTTATTTTATTTAACTTCTCTTCCATGTAGCAATATTTCAAATATCTAACGTGGTTTCCTGGTTGTAGCAGTGCCATGAAGCTGAACAATGCAGAATTTCTTATGGGAAATGTTTTGGATGCTGTTGTTAGCCAAGTCATGATCTTGTTGAGGGAAAAGAATCTACAACTTCTGCATGAGATTCCGGATGAAATCAAAACATTGTCACTATATGGTGATCAAAGCAGGCTTCAACTTGTCTTGTCTGATTTTTTGCTTAATGTGGTGCATCATGCTCCTTCTGAAGATGGCTGGGTAGAAATCAAGATTTCACCAGCTCTGCAGCTAATACAGGGCAGCAACGAATTCATCCATTTGCAGTTAAGGTACTGTAAGTAGAATGTCATTCGCTGGTTAAACATGGCTCATATTATTCAATAAAACTATTTCAAAACAAAATATTATTGAATAAAGCAAGATCTTATTCAGTGCAGTTGAAGTTAAGTTTGTATATACTTGTGTATCTTATTACCTGCCTGTGGTGTGCTTTTACGTGAATTTGGCATGTGTTTGGTTGAAGCGAACTATCGCAAGTATTTTGGGGTCTAATTTTGACAAAGAAAAGTTTCTATTGTCTGATAATGTTGAAACCCAATCATTATTATTTCCCTGAAAATATTGTTGAGTAGGCATCTTGAGAATCACTTCCTATTTATTTGTAGTTATCTCAGGTTTTTAGGTCCTCTGAGTATGGATGTTCAATGACATGGCAGGAACAGAAACAATCAGGCCCCATAAATCCATTAAATATTTGGGAAAATTTTAAATCTGTTGAGGCCATTTTGTGAGTTCTTAAGCTTTTTTCTAAAGATGCCTTTGAAGTGGAAGTGGCCACTCATGTATTCCCTTATCATGGGCTTGGAGGCGACTCCATTTAGCAATCTCCTTAGGAAAACCACAATCTCACGTCAGAGAAAATTGCCAGACTGTCTTATAGATGTCTCAGTAGCAGAAACTAATAAATCTGACTCCAGTATAACATTTGTTTAAGCTTTGTTCTTAACTTACAAATCCTTCTATTTGAGAACATATGTTGCTCACTGAGAAAACCACTGGTGAGGCTGGAGTCTCTTGTGCAACAATCAATCCACAATTCTTAAGAAACAAGTCTTGTAACTTCTTGTCCAGACTTGTATCCTGACCGGATCTATGTTAACCATTTATAAATGATGAATGACACTTTATAACTAAACATACTTGGAAAGTGAAACTGAATGATGTTTCAGTGCACTTTTTTTTTTTCTTGATCATAGGTGGCTAATGACACTGGTTAGAGTTAGTGTTCTTCCCTTGGATTGTTTCTGTTTTGTGCTTCAACCTTGTTACTAATGTCTACCTTGGTTGATGACCATGAACTACCTTGCTTTTTATGGTGAGAATACGTCACTTGCTTTAGCCTTCTTTATAATAATGTCTCTGCATTGTCAGCATGTTTTTCTGTGTACCGACTGTCTTACTGATTTCGCCATTCGCCAATCATGACAAGCTCCTTCTCTGACTCATGAGATTTGATTTTTTTCGACAGGCTAATGCTCTATTATCGAGATTATCTTGTCTTGGTTTTCAATATTTTGGCAATTTCTGGGTCAATGATGAGTGACATTCCTGAAATCATATTTCTGCAGTAACAATGCATGTCTTGTACCTTCAAATAGACTAGTTTTTCATCTAGTTCTTTTTTCCCGATGCGAATGCAGAATGACTCACCCCGGCAAAGGTCTTCCTTCTAGCCTTCTTCAAGATATGTTGGAAGGAGAAAACAAATGCACTACTCAAGAAGGCTTAGGGCTAAACCTTTCGCGGAAGCTGCTGAATCGAATGAATGGTGATGTCCATTATGTTCGAGAGCACAACAAATGCTATTTCCTTATTGACCTTGAACTTCGGACGAAAAAGGAAGATTGAACTGTGGCGAACTGGTAGAAGCAGATAGATCTAAATTCTTTTTGCATTACATATATACGGTCGGATGCGACTGTGCAAAGTGAAAGTCATTATGACTTTTGAGTTGTGTTTCTTGGTCTATGTATGTATTCTTAAAAGTCCATCCATTTCTGAGCGGGTTCTGCTATTTGAGTTTCTTGTATATTTTCTGTATTGATGTAAAGTTAATGTGCAGCATGTATATATATCTTGTAAAGGCATGGAATGAGTGGAGGAAGACATTCACAAACGCAGTTGTTTTGGTGTCTTGCAATTCACGTCCCTCATTAGCTTCTATAATATATATATATATATATATATAAGATTAGTAATAAACATTTATATAAAAAGATTTTTTAAAATAGAATATAATATTATATTAAATTTGATGGATAGTTATTGGAACAAAGCACAACGAAAAGTTAAATCATTACAAGTATATAAAAAGCATTAAACAAATATTTTAAAAATATTTCTAACAGATTATATCTATTTTAATTTAATTTATCAGCACGGTTATTATTACCGAATTTTAAAATAAAAATATTTAGATTATTTATAATAAATGTATAATTATTTGTCCGCACTGAAACAGGAAAGTAACGTGGCTCACCATTTTTAGCTGATCTCAGCTGACGTGGCTCGTCGTTATCCATCCACCTAATATTTTCGTCCACTTTTTTTTTTGTTTATTATATTTTTAGGAAACTAAATTATATTTATTTACTAACCGACAAAATAAGAAAGTATTTTCAGAATTCGATCTAAATTTCTCTCAATCATTTGCTACCTTTTCAATTCGCTGTCCAACCATCAATACTTTCTCCCCCTTCGGAAAGAGAAATTGGAGCAAGACGACACTGTAGCAGTAATCAACTCTCTCTCTCTCTCTCTCTCTCGCTCTCTCTCTCTCTCTCTCTCTCTCTCTCGCTTGCTGATTCAATCAACCGCTTGCTGAACTTGGTAATTGGTGTTGAAAGCTGTAAAGATTTGTGCATTATTGTTATTATTGTAATTATTTAACTAGATCATGAGAATGAGGGCATACCTGTGAAATTTAAAAGTCATGTTTCTTTTTTTTCTTTTTGCAGAAAGTATTAGAGGATTTTATATTGGCGGTAATTGTCTTTTGCTCTCTTCATTATGAAAAGAACTTCTGATTCTCTTTTCTATTATTTCATGTTGTCCTTTTGTTTCTTTAAGCTTCCTACTATCTCGTCGTGGTCCTGGGTTTTAAGAGTTTGTATTACATGGGTAGATGTTCTATGTTTTGTTTGTTTCCATTGATATTAGCACTTTTATCATCATTTGTCCTATTTCTTTTGATAATTACTGTTTCCTTCCATTCAAACTCGTCTCTGTGTGCAGTAGGTCAATATTGGTGCAAATTAGGATCTCTTATTTTGAGCAGATAGGTGATGTCATGACACAGTCTCCAAAAAATTCAAATTCAGGTATCTCTATATCTTTTTGTGTTTGCTAAAAAGGTCTTGTCGGGTTGATAGGAAAACAAAGAGCTTTTTGTTTGACATTTTGTCGTGAATCATGTGTAGTAGGGCTGACAGATATTTTGCCCGTAAATATACTGAAAGAAACTGGAAATGATGCTTGTGGGATTTCTTCTGGACTTGGCACTTACCATGCTTCAAATGATGCTACCTTTTTTTCTAGTTCGCTCCCTATTCTTCCACATGAAAAATGTATGTGGTAGCTCATAGTTTAAAAGCTTTTTTTCTTTTTCTGTTTTTTTTTTTAAAAAAATAATGGGAAATTACCTGCTTATTCCTACATGCAGCAAATGTTAATGTCGTAGGATCTCTATTTGGTGATGAGATAGTGTCTAGCTTAAGCGAACTCGATCAAGGTTTGGAGGGTATTGATTCACTTGAAGGGATCGAGAGAAATGCTGTTGGAAGTTTGCTTCCTGATGATGAAGATGAGCTTTTGGCTGGCATAATGGATGATTTTGACTTTAGTGGGTTGCCTAGTTCACTGGAGGATCTGGATGAGTATGATCTTTTTGGAAGTGGAGGAGGTTTGGAATTGGAGAGTAATCCACAGGATAAACTAAGTATGGATATGCCGAAGGTTAACTTATCTGATGCTATCTATGGGAATGGGGTGCCTCATTATGGTATTTCAAATAGTGCGGGAATGTTTGCTGGTGAACATCCTTATGGGGAGCATCCTTCAAGAACGTTATTTGTTCGGAACATCAACAGCAATATCGAGGACTCAGAATTACAAGCCCTCTTTGAGGTAATCCAGTTTTTGTATTAGGCAAAGCCCCTCACAGTAATTTCGTGGTAGTATACTGCTGTGAAAATCACTCACTTTGGCGGGATTAGTTTTTTGTTTTAAAGCAGTGACGTAAACATATTTTTTTAATTTATAAATGGAAAAGAACTATTAGGGACTAAACTAGATCCCAGCACATTGTCTTTGAGCATTGAATTAAAAATTCCAACTTTTTTGTTTGTTTTTATTTTTTTTTCCCCTTCAAATTTACTAGTTTACATATGTGTGTATAAGTTTCTTATGGTTAGGCTTAGATGACCATTCATGAAATGTATGAATCAAATCCTATTCAAAAATACCTAATAAAGTGAGACTATTTCTCATTAGCTTAAGCTGTTAAAGTAATTATTTGTGGCTAAATTACTTCACCTGTCAAATGAGGTAGAAGTTCATAAAACTTATGTTTTTACATATAAAAAAGCATTTTTATTTAAAAAAAATTAGTCAATACATTCTTAATTAAGTTTATATCATCTTTGCACTTGCATGCTTTCTAAAATAACAAAGTTATTTTACTTCTTGTATTGGTTTTTGCTTGATTGTATATATCGAACGAAATATTTGTTTGAAGGTGCTGCAAACATGTGGCAACATCAAACCCCATATGATATATCTCGATAAGGAAAAAAGGCAGGATATCATGACCATATGCCCTGCTTTCAGATTATTATAGTAACCAAAAAACTCTGCTGGAAGCAAAGGAAAATATCATTGGAAAATTTAGGCTCAGTTTGGCACTTGAAATTTTTTTTCTTATTTCATACATACATGTTTGCACATGAAAAATTAGTGTTACTGCGTCTATGTATGGTAGTTGAATATATAAAGAAACATATTTATAGAAAACGTTAAATGCAACTCTTTGTTATTTTCAAATTCATGCCATGTTTTTGCTTTTCTTTCTAAATATTTTACCTTTTTCTACTATCAGACTTGTAATAGACATAAAATGAGTAAACAAATTGAAAACTAGAAGCATTTTCATGTATTAAATATTGCCTTAGTAATTTGATTTCCGTACATTTTAAGACGAGACTGGTTTTCTATTTAACCTTAGCTTATCATTGTTTTTTTGTATAATGTAAGATACATGTTATTCATTATTTAGCTTTATGTTTATTGCAAATTTTCTTTCTCACTATTTATCTGTTTACACATTTACTGGATGTTACATTATGGCAGCAATTTGGTGATATTAGAACTCTGTACACTGCTTGTAAGCATAGGGGCTTTGTGATGATATCTTATTATGATATTCGTGCTGCACGAACAGCGATGCGTGCATTGCAGAACAAGCCTTTACACTGGAGGAAACTTGACATTCACTTCTCAATTCCTAAGGTTTAAATGCTCCCCTAGAGTTTCTTTCTTTGATCATCAATATCACTTTAATTCTCTGCTATGGTTATAATTTTTTTCCATGTTACAATCAGGATAATCCATCAGACAAGGATATCAATCAAGGAACTTTAGTAGTTTTTAATTTGGATCCATCAGTGTCAAACGAAGATCTCCGTCAAATATTTGGGGCTTATGGCGAGGTGAAAGAGGTGATATATTTCTCCATTTTATCTGTATTTTTCTGTCTTCTTGTGGTAGCGATCTGTTATTATATGCTTAATATCTGGCAATGCATCGCTTTCTGTGCAAAAGCAGATAAGGGAAACTCCTTACAAGAGGCACCACAAGTTCATTGAATTTTATGATGTCAGAGCTGCAGAAGCCGCTCTTAAGTCATTAAATAAGAGGGAAATTGCGGGTAAACGCATAAAGCTTGAACCTAGTCGCCCTGGTGGAGCTCGTCGAAAGTGCGTATATCTATATTGCTCATTCTTATGTTATACATTTTGTTATAATTTATCAAAATTAATGAAACTTAAATAATTTTTTCATGTTTTCTTCAAGGATTTTTATTGAATTTGGTTTCTTTTTGGCAAACTTACCTCCAATTGGAAAACATGTACCATCTCTTTGAATCCAAGTTGGCAGCATTGGCCTTTCAACTATATTATGCATGCTGAGACGGAAAAGCTCATCTAGAATTCTCTTTTTTTTTTTCTTTTTCTGATATTTCTTGACAATTTTTCCTTTAAAAGCATTGGACCTCTTTTTCTTTTTTGGTAGAAGTAAATAAATTGAGATGGAAGATTAAAAGATGTTGAGGACTAATTCAGCTGTTGAGAATAGAATTTTTGCACTTGTACTTCACTCCCTCCAGCAAACTATCATTTCCGTTTCCCTCTATAGAAATACCTGTCTTCAATGGTTACCTTTGACATTTTTAATTATGTTAATATCTAGAACGTTAATTTTTTTTCAATCAGTTTTTTGCTTTGTTATGTCTATTAAAAAGATCGTGATTCTGAACTAATCATCACTTCAACCTTTTAGCTTGATGTTGCAGTTGAATCAAGAACTTGAACAAGATGAATCGCGCATTTTCTGTCATCAAGTTAGTTCATCCGTTACGAACTCCCCACCAGGTAGGGACTCTTTGAGGTCGTTTGAGTTATTTACAAGCTTGTTTGTTTGATTTCTTTTACAAGTTAAGGTCAAATAAATATTTAAGGCAGGTAACTGGGTGCAGTTCAATAGCTTTATTGAACATAGTCCTCTGGAAAATATTAGTAGATCCCCTGCTTTAAGGACGGTAAGCCCAACAAACAGCAATAAGTTGCCTGGACTGGCTTCATTGTCGAATTCTGAAGGACTAAACCATGCAAAAGTTGCACCAATTTGTAATGACCAGAGAAGGCTTGGTCCCGTGGAGCATCATTTTCCCAATAGCAACTTAGGCCATGGAGTTGCCTTTCAACAATCCCATTCATTTCCGGAGATGAAGTTGGGTCAACAAAATAGAGCTGTTTCCACTTTCAGCCCTTCAAACTCCAACGGATCTAGCATTGAAACATTATCAGGGCCAGAGTTTCTGTGGGGAAGCCCAAGAACATATTTAAAACATACTAGTTCTTCAGCCTGGCCAATGTCATCTGTGGCACATTCGTTCTCATCAAATGGTAATGGTCATGCCTTCGGGTACTCAGATAAGCGAAGCTCCTTTCTTGGATCATCTGAGCACCATCATGTTGGATCTGCTCCATCTTGTGTTCCTACTGAAAGGCACTCTGGCTTTGTTCTAGAATGTCCAGAAACTTCTTTATTGCATCCTGTTGCTTTTGGAGCAAAAGAAATTGGTCAGGATGATGGAAATTTTATGGTCAATATGGCTGTTCATGGTGCTAAGAGTTCTGGTGTTAACCTTCCCAGAAATTTTTCTGGAAATTTTTCTTCAGGCTTCAGAATGTCCACACCAAGGTTCGGTCATGTGCTCTCAGGCAATGGTCCTCATCCGGGAGTAGTAACTAAAAACATGGAGGGCTTGACTGAGCGTGGGAGGAACAGGCGAGTTGAGAATATTGGGAACCAGGTAGACAGCAATAAACGGTTCCAGCTTGACTTGGATAAGATCCTTAGTGGAGAAGATACTCGGACGACATTGATGATAAAAAATATTCCAAATAAGTAAGAACGACCTATATGATTCATGTGACAGAAATATGAAATATTTGCAGCCCACTCTTAATGATTAGTAATTTCTTGTTGTCATAGATACACCTCCAAGATGTTGCTAGCTACTATTGATGAAAATCACCGGGGAACCTATGATTTTCTCTATTTGCCTATTGATTTTAAGGTAAATACAGTGAGCTTCAGAGTTTTGGGAGTCTTTCTCCTGTCAATTACAAGCACTGATTCTTCTTCTATTCTTGTTGCAGAATAAATGCAACGTGGGCTATGCATTTATTAACATGGTGTCTCCTTCACATGTTATTACATTTTATGAGGTTTTTTTGCTGCAGCTTCTTTTATTTATTTTTTACGCTGAGTTATTTTCAGTGTCATGCTTATATTGGACAGTGAAAGCATCTTGACATTTTCTAAACATGAAAAATAGAGTGCAAGGAGAATCTATCCTGTGAATGCAACCCTGATGAGTAATTTTGGTACAGGCATTTGATGGAAAGAAGTGGGAGAAGTTCAACAGTGAGAAAGTTGCTTCACTGGCCTATGCTCGGATTCAAGGGAAGACAGCTCTTGTGGCTCATTTCCAGAACTCAAGCTTGATGAATGAAGATAAGCGCTGCCGTCCAATTCTTTTTCATTCAGAAGATGCAGAGGCAGGTTGTCAGGTAATTAATTAACTATGCACTAGAAGATACTCTTACTGTAATCCACTTGGTAACCACATTTGGCAAGGAAATTATCGCAAGAAAATTTTTGATGCACTGGTCTCTCTGTTCTATGGTCCTATCAGTAATAGTAGACCCTCCGGAGTTAAGTTGTTTGACTATTAACTTGTGGCTAAAGAATACGGTATAGCCATTGCTCATATGATGCTCTTTATATATATATATATATATATATATATATCATCCAGGAACATCTTAACAGCAGTTTGCATGTCAAGATCCATCAGCTGAATTTGTCACAATCAGGGGATTCTCTGGGAATCCTTACGAAAGATGGTTCTGTTGAGAACCAAGAGAAGAGCTAACAGTTCAAAGGTAAATGCTGCAGCTCTAAAAATGGGGTTTGTGAATGCTGCTACTGGCGAACTTAATGGTAGATATCCTTAACATTACAAAAGGAGATAAACAACAGAAGTAGAACTCGGGGTTGTATTGTATTTTGTAATAGAACATCCAAAGCTGCAGCAAAAACATTTTGGTTTAAGTCGGTAATCTAGTTTGAAATTCGAGGCTGGGACACAATGACATCCAGGTGTGGCCAATTTTTATTCTATAGCATGCTAGTGGTAGGATGCCATAGTCACCTATCCAATTTTTCTTTGGAGTTCCTGTTCTCCTCAATTGGGTTCTTTTGGGGCCTTTTTGGTGTTAGGTTGGGATGATTCCGGTATATATATATATATAATGTTATACGGATGCATTGTAAGGGTATAGATTTTTTGAGTTTGTCATCCTTACAAAATTGTATTGTAGATCAGATTGGAAACTCATGATTGTTCTCCTGAAATTTAGATGTGCAGAAAATGTAGTTTACATTTCGACCCTACGCTTCGTTCATCACTAGTTCTGCATGCTGTTTGGAGAATGGAGTAATACAGTATAATTGGTTTTGATCACTCGATACTTGGTATTTCTATCGTATCTCTTGTCTTGTGGTTCCTTACAAATTTTCTTCAGTTTTTCTTTCTTAATCCTCTTTCTCCTCTTATGTTTAAATTTTCTTACTTTCTTCATCTTTGCCTTTCAAATTTTCTCCTTTCTTTTAATTACCTTTGTTATGTACTGTTCCTTATTATTCTTTTTTCTTTTAAATTTTACTTATTTATATGCATGTTAAAGTTAATTGTAAAAGAACGACTATACTTCTTGGACTTCTTTCAAAAGCTAAGCAATATTTTTGTGTTAAAATAAAAACGAAACTTTTAAAATTTCTTCAAATAAGTTCTTACAAGAAATAACTGTTGAGTTTCTATTATAAATTATACTCCCTTATTTGATAATTAAGACCTAAAATGCTTCTATTATAAATTATAAAACTTACATGTTTTTGTATGTAAAAAACTGTATAAATGTGGCAAATAAAAATACAAAATATTTTCCTGAATGATTCAAAAGTAAGATTTACAAACACCAAAAAGAAAATGACACAATGAACTTAACGCCACACTCGGAGTAGCATATATTATTGCGTGATTTCCATTAAGCAAATCTTATCAGAAGGCCAGGAATTTAAGCAACTGTAAATGGAAGATCGAAGCTCATATGAGTTTGGAAAAGAAGGGACTACACTGATCCAATCCTTACCAGCTTTCTCAACATATGAATTCAACTTCGGGACGGGATAGAATCTAAGTTTATCGAGCTGCTTCGTCAGCTTCTTTAGTGTGTTCATGTGGAAAATCATGTTATAACTTTCCTCCATATCTTCTGCATCTTTGTAAATTTGGATGCCAATTTCCACCTCTTGCGAGTCAACAAACCCAAGCAGCACTGAATTGTTACCGACATATCTTGTGTTTGCGTTGAATATCTGAAGGTTGTGATGAATCACGACAAATTATCAACAAAAATTCACATAATTGATGAGCATTGGTAACTTTTAACTATGGAAGACCACAAATTTTTGGCATGTGTAGAGGCATGAGAGAAAGAAGTAGATTTTCATTTAAGGCACTCTAAACCTATTCATCCTATTTCCAACGAAGAACAATGAAAGATAAGAAAGTAGACATCATGAGCACCACCAAATTGTCAACCAAAATGTTAAATGTCCTAGAGCAAGCAGGCTAAGCTTTCAAATTTAACTCGGTGCTGCTGTTCTGTTCCGTTTCTGTTTTATTTTTTAAGAGAAAAAATAATATCATAAATAATAAACCAAGAGACTGCCGTTCTTACACAAGGACTTTAAAGAATATGGAAAGAGAGTGCCACTCATGGTACAAGGTGGTCTAGATCATCTTCAAAGTTATGAGGTCCAAAATAAATGATCTATGGTCTAGTATCAATGTTCATCTCTTGGAGGTAAATCAACTCCTCCCCATCTTTAATCACTCTTCCCTTACTCCGGTCACTGAGGGCCCTCATAAGATGTGGTTTGAAAATAGCAAATGGTGCAGTATCTCATTCCTCTAGGCGACCTAATCTTCCATGGCTCGCTTGTCATAATTGAGAGAATACTCTCTCTTTGGCTATTACTTACCCTGCTAAAGTGATTATCAAGAGGGCAACTAAAGGATATTCTAATTCTCAACTTTTTTCTAGCTTCAACTGCTCTGAACAATTCAGAGGCTTTATCTTCAAACCCTTCAAAATCAACCCCAATTTATTTGTGGAATTTCATGATTTTTCCCTTACCCAATCAGAAGAATACCCATGATACATGTTAGCTCCTCTTCATCAAACAAAACATCAAGCGTCAGATAACCCCAGATAACTTATTCTCCCATCTTAATCACCAACAGAAGGTCACAAGCTCTGGCTCTTGACCTCCCACCACCCCTGACCTAGGAAGAAGAAGGACAAAGTTAGGAGAAAAAGCATAAAACTCACTCAGTTTGAAGGTAAGTTCTGAAATTGTATTCTTCACAAACCTCATCTCTATGTCATGCACCCAACTAGACTCCATAGTGTGGGCACAACAGGAGCACGTTTAGATGGGGTCCTACCTCTTCATCCAAACAACAATGATCTTCAAGCACATTTGCTTTCACTTCTAATAGCCTCAAGTTACACATTGAGCTCACTTAGAAAATTCTGCACCAGCCATTTACTTCAGTACCTTCTGGAATGCACAACCTTTATGATTCCCCTTCATTTTCTCCCTAAGCTCCAAGAGATGACCCCTGCTGTTTCCACCAGTCTGATGGAGATAGAGTAATCTGCACTCTTTTAAACTCTATACCAAGTTCTATGACCTCTTCTCCAAAAGAATTCACATAATAATTTAAACTAATCTAGTTTCTTAGTTGAAGAAAGAAAAAGAAAAACCTTTGCTTAACCCCCATTTTCAATGATTTTGAGAGTATCCTGAATCTCATTTTCTAAAACCATATCAAAGATTTATTTTCAAACACCAAGAATTTCCTGGGAGAGAGAAAATGCATTGTAAAAAGATATGATCACCAACCATTATAATGGCCCAAAGCTCGAGGTATAGAGGATTTTTATCACCCAACTATTTCAAGTTATTCCACCAAAACGAGCTGTTCTATTACGTAATTAAAGTAAGTTATGATTTTTCACTTGCTACCTGCCGATCATTACAAATTAGATTGCATGACTTCATATAAACGAGATTGGAACAACATTTTTAAGTTGAAAACTAATATTGCTAGGAACTTAAGGCAAAAGCAATATCTGACAGTGGGAAAGTGCCAAAGTTTCCTAGACGATATGAGCCAACAGAGCATGCAGATAAGAAACTAAGCAAACCAATGAATCATGATGTAGTTCTACAAGTTTTTAAAAATAGAATCTTCACGCCATCTTTACATGCCCATCATAATACAAAATGGCAATGTGCTCCCTAAAATAATCATATTGGTTAAAACTAGGTATACCTTCTTGGGCATGTGTGCGTGAACACAATCCATCATCACCTTTTCTCCATGCTCATCATAATAAGAAATGACAGTCTACTCTGCTAAAGTAATCATATTGGTTAAGGTTAGGTATACCTGTGTTCGTGGATGCTTGTATGTTTAATTTTAGCCAATCAGACCCCATTACTCCATGGGAGTTGAGTTTCAGAATCATTGAGAAAGACTAATATAAGAACTGATTCAGAAGCTGAATGCTACAGAAAACCCATTTCTTTCTTAACATGACAAAAAAAAACAATTCATGCCTTCTCTCTGATCTAATGCTTTTTTTTAGATTTAATCAACTGGGACTCATTAGTCCATGGAAGTTGAGTAGAATTACAAAACCCATATTTCTTTTTTCCCACAAAAAATTAGCAATTAAGCTCCAGTTAACCCGAGTTCGACAGGCTGACTACAATGGAACAAAATGTATCAAAGGAAGTTCAACATTGGAAACGAGTACAAGGAAGTTTTGGTAGCCTTGACTATCAAGAATGGTTAAGTATGTATTTTATTGAATATCACAAACCTATATATACAGATTTTTTAGAAAAAAACAAAGATACACAATTAATTACATAGGGCGTATTTCACCTTAATGTTCTTTAACCTAATTTACAAATAATACACTCTCTTTAACATTTACCAAATGTAGACACAAGCAAAAGGAACTCACCTTAAATCTTTAAGGTTTTATTTCTCTCTTTTTTTTGGACAGAACTTTAAGCTAAAAACTTTTAAGAGAACTTAGTTAAAAATGTTTGCCATATTTGTTTAAAGAAAAAGTTAAAATCGGAAAATAATAAATAAATAAGTAAATAAATATAATCACAAAACCATATAGGTGGTATGTCTAACCTGGATATACTCTACTCCCATTACAGCAAGATCCTCCAGAATGCCCTGTGATGAAAGCGAGCTAATTACCCCACCAGACCCAACAGGGGATTGCAGTATTTGCCAGCGTGATTCGAGTAAAATCTTGTGCTTTTTCTGCTCTTCAAGTGAATTACTAACAATGGGAAGTTTCTCTTCCTCCAAGAACCAGACCTGGCAGCTAAAAGGTTAGAAACAAAAAGATCATGTATTCCAAGATAAATGAGAAACAATTCTATAACCTAGTTAATTCTTTAGTCCTGTGCATTTATGCATTCACATATGACACACAATCATGAGTTAATGACTCCATCTCATGTATGCATTCACATTATTAAGCTGGACCATGCATGCTGTTGTCAGAAATTTGAAGGTCTAGATTTCAAAGTCTTGGAACAAATAAACTATCTTCATGAAATTTATATAGAGATTCATATTTTAACTTGACTCCAAAATGATAAAAACTAACATCCTAGAAAATCTTAAGTGGAACTGAGTTATTGTTTTAATTCCACACGAAATTCTCTCCGATGTCAATTTTCATCATTTTGGAAAAAACTTTCATCCTCTCGTTGCTTTTAAATTATGGTTCTCGAAATGAAGTTCATTAGTTCCAACCATAGCCTAAATAAACATACAAAATTTTGGCTCCGTAAGCTTGCATTGATTTAAATTTATTCTACTATCATCCTAACCTAAATCTTAATTATTTGACACGTAGATTTAGTTGTAACTTATATATTCAATTCCTATTTGAACCGACTTCATTTGTACTTTTAACTCCACAGTAATGGATTTGTATTTCCACTTGTCAAGGAAATAATCATAAAAACACGTAATTTAAATTAGACCTAAAATTGAATTAGAAATTAAATACTACTCTCATTCAAATCTTTATTCTATTTGCATTGTATTCTTATTACTATTTCATAGAATTAAAATTAAGATAAAACTCAACACACGAAAATTACAAAAATTTCCAAAATTATATCTTGACACATCAGATATATGTGCTCAACAAGGACAGAGAAAAGAGAATAAACATGCACAAAGATGAATTGTTAAATGTCTGAGAAGTCTCAATAACTTATGAGAATAACTCAATAGAATATCAGTTTTCTCATAACATAGCACCAGCAGCAGGCCCACACAAGTGCGTTAGGGAAGCTAGTTTTCTCTCCTTTTCTCTTTTGTTGCTTGTGTATCTCGAATAGTCCCTCCCCAAAACCCCCATCCTTTTGCTCACTTAATTTTAGTTTTCTTTCTGTATGAATTTAAATAACATGTCCAAAATAAATCAATCCGACCTCCCCAAAGTAGCTTTCCTTTACACCACTACTGTAAAACAATGTTACCTTAAAGTAGAAATATTTTTGTACTAACCTTCTGTGAGTTAAAGGCAAAGTGATCGTGATCTAAAAATAATTTCTGAAGAGGCTCAATTGCATGCGTTGGGCAAACCAAGACAAGTGGAACAGAATGACGGTCTTCTTTCTGTAAACAGAACACAGTGTCATTACAGCATTGACAGCATGGACACAAAATTCTGTAAAGGAGGCTATTGCCTAGGCAGTATATCTCATCCTCAAATGAATTATTTATTATAGTAACAAACAAATTAACTAATTGCAGTGATGAACACATGTAAATTTGCATTAAGGTATACTAGGAAGATCTAACAAGTGAAGAGTCAATTATGGTACCACCTTCCCAAACCTATGATCATCACATAGTAACTTCTGAAGGAGAGGCAATGATGAATTCTCTGTGCTTTTCTGTATATCATTTATGACTAAACAAAAGGCAAGTTTGCCTTTAGACAAAAAAAATAGCCCCCTCTGTTGCAAAATGCAATTCTCTTGCAGCATACATTCATTTGCAGAATGAATGAAGCAATCCTCTGATATCTTCAATGTATGTAGTAGCTTCGCTCTTGCCTCATTCATTTGCTCAGTTACATTCCATCTGATACAAGAGTAATGAAAAAAAGGCAAACTTAATAAAGCTGCAAATAAAGCAGACTATAGGGTTGACCCTTGGACTCACAATATGTTGCCGATAAACGTTCTCATATTGCAATATAAGTTAGCTGAATCAAAATACATGATCAATTTATGTTGAAAATCTATATTTAAGGATTATTTCTAAAGCAACAGGACTGTCAGAGACATTTTTCACTCACATATTCCATTGATAATTTGACTGTCAAAGAGCAAGATTGGACAGTCTCAAGGACCATGAAAACTATCACAGATTTAATGCCCCATGCAATGACCAGTTCTTGTCAAATAATGAAACCATTAACTTTCCACTAACACTTCAGCTAAATAGTTACTTCCAGTCACTTCTATAGAAGTAATACAGGCCCTAACCCATTCATGGTCCTAACTTTGTGATTGTCAATAAAGGATATATATATAATTGGAATCCCCCATTTTAGTTGGTTTTTTTTTTCATAAAAGATAAAGAAGAGATGACAACCCATTCTTTCACTAAGGTTTCAAGTAGCTGTGTCAAATCCAAGTTGATTGTGCAATGCCACTTACTTATTACTCCCTAGGGGCCCAGAAGATGGTGTTCAGGAAACTGAGTTTAATAACTTTTGGAGAGAATGAAATTAACAAACCGGATTCATCTTCTTCAAAACCCATTCAAAGCAAATGATGCAAACATAACATGATTACATTTCAATTTACCTTCTTGAAAATATCTCAATATTTTGTAATGCCTGTTGAAACAATTTGGTATTAATAACAATAATCTGCTCTGTAAGTGAACTCCTTTGGGATTTCTCTCCAGAAGCAAACCCATGAAATACATGTTGTTGGCCCAGTTCATAAAGTTTCCTTTTTGCTGCCACAAGGCGCTTTTGCAACTTCTTTCGTTCTTTCCACGCCTGAAAATAGTAAAAACAATAATTAATAGCATCACTAACAGAAACCTCATGTTTAATTTCTATGCAAAAAGAATATGCTTTTAGAATCACTAACCAATAAAGCAATAATGATGCATCTATTCACATATTATAAAGAAGAATGGTGAAAAAAAAACATTAACTAATAAAGCAAGTTGAGTACTCACAAGCTGCCGCCGTTCTTTTTTGGACCTCTCATCACATCGTAAGTTTAACTCAAGGAGTCCCTTTGGAGGTGTAATTTTCAACTCTCTTCTCCTTAAATCAACATCTGGAACAATTGCTTCAACAAATGGAACCCATACAAGGGAACCACTTTGACCGTTACTGGCAACCTCTGGTTTTGCACTGCCATTAGGCATATCAATAAATGAGACAAGCATAACTTGTAAAAGATCACTGGCCCCACTGTTGAAAACATTAACAACAGTTCCAACAAGCTCCCCAGTTTCCTGCAACAGAGAAGTAACTAAATCTCTGTAATTGGGTTACACCCCCTTGGGTACCCATTAATACAATTCTTTTTCTTTCTAAAGAAAATCATTCTCCATGGTCATTGAGTGAAAAAGAGAAATTAAATTCTATATCTAATTTAATAAAACTTACTGTTCATCCAAGAAAGAAATTTATAAAAGCCGCATAAAAATATGAGTGTAACTCATAATTTGATAATGGGATTATTAAGTTGAAGGTATATAATGACTTGTATTTATATTCCATGGTTTGTGTCACAAAAAAGACTAATATCCATTTCTAAACTATAAAAAGAGAAGGGGTATATGGAGACACAACTCTAACACAACCCACACAAAAATGAAATATAAAATAAATCTAAAGGAAGAAAAAATAGTTTTTGTCCATTTACAAATTTTCAGCACAGAAAAGTCCAGACCTTGAGAATAACTCTCATGCCAATAAGATCACGAGTGTAGAATTCTCCTTCTTCCAATTCTGGTCTGTCTTCTTCTGTAGCAAGTAGAGTTGAACCAACAAGCTGTTTGGCCTGCATGGGATTAGAAAACTTATACTTAAAAGGACGTCAACAAATGCTAATATAACAAAGTACTATCAACAGTCAAAATTGATTGCATCTTAAACAATGTAATAGGGAAATAAATTCATTGCTAAGTCAACATGTTTGTTAATCCTGAATATTCAGCAAACAATTTTCACTACAATCAGCTGAGAACCCTGAAAATGAAAGATCTGGAAAAAGTCATCGAAAATTTGTATCATTTATACTCGTTTAAAAGTTCTTTGTTTTTGTTGAATGGTCAAGGTTATCTTGAACTTTGTTTGAGAGTACATTCTCTCTCCAACGATCTTAAAGCTCACTCTCCCACACCGACCAAGTGCATTCAGGATTCTATTTCCAATGTGCTACTTATATGAATTAAACTAATGTAGGAAATATTTCCACAAATATCATAATCACTAGTAAAAAAAGTAACTGGCAGCAGCATCTAAGTAAAGTTTAAGGTAGAAAGAGATAAGGTTAAGAGGTGAAGAGGAGAAGAGAGAACAGAGAAAGTTAAAGGAAGAAGGGAGATGGAAAAGTCGAGGAAAGAAAAAGAAAGGGGGCTGAAGAAAGGGAGAAAAACGAAATTTAGAGAAAGAAATGCTTCAATTCTGTTCCACTAACAATTCACCCTCATTCTATCCAGTGTCTAAATAGGCAAAGAGGGGAGAGACGTTTCAAAAGAGCCCATTGCAGTCTTAGCAACTACAAAAGATGGCCACATGATATTGCCATCTTCTTTCGTCTAACGAGAGGTAGGACCTGTTGGCAACTTGTGGTTGCCACCTTCTTTGGCCAAAACATCTCTAGACCCATGAGACAGCACAAGTTCGCAACTCCAAAGCTGGAAATTTGTGATTGTCACCTCCTTTCACCACCATTTTTGAATCTTGGAGGGTGTTAGTTGGCAAGTTATGGTTGCCACCTCCTTTGGCCAACCAAATTCTAGCCCTAATGAACCACTAGTTAATAGGATGCTATATCATTTTACCACCAGTAACAAAGATATTATCTTATCATATTAATAAGAGCTAAGGTGCCCCCTGATCCTTCTAAAAAGAAAGAAAATAAAACAAAACAAAAAGGTAAAACCAAAATACAAATGGCATTCAACTTTTACTCTTGCAGCCATAAGTAAGTCTAAAATCTTTTAGTGCTTCCCATTATCCTCCGTTCACGAACTGATTTTCAAAGAAAATGATACATTTATTAATTGAATGAATCCCTAAGAATTAAAAAATAATAATAAAAAACCTAATATTTTTATTTTTCACAGCATTAACAATTAGGCAGTCATACTAAATAACTAAAAGACATTTAAATCAGTATGCAAGGTGTCAATTCCTCCGAATCCATCATAGCAAAAGAAATTCAATACTAGAAAATCCATCATAATCATAATCAACAATATTTAGAAAGCAACAAAATTCAACAACTTGCCATCATAGTACAGTATTTTCATGTTAGAAAAGATGCAAGCTCTCAGAATCCAGCCTCTTTTGTAGATAGAAACAAATGTATTCCAGAAAAATTTCTCAATCAAAGTCAAATTACTGCATATAAAACAACTAGAAATAAACTAATAACTTTACCTGCTCCACGGTATCAATTCCTTTGATCTTAAGTATCCAACTCTTCTTTCCAGGATGTTCCCTTCCCTCACCCAGCTCTACTTCTTGAATTGTTTCCCTTCCTGAAACTTGTTGCCTTAACCATCTTCTCCCAGGCTGGAAAGAATTGATTTAATAACCAAAAATAGAGTATTCAAGAAACTTAATGGTATAACATATTAAGTAACTCCTTAGATTTTTTTTTCCTTAATGCTGCTTACAGTGGAAAATCGTAACTCAGGAAAATCAGTGCTTGGTTTTACACAAACATCTCCCTGGAGTCCATGAACAGAGGACAAGAAGCCAATTTCAACATACCCAGATCCACTGTTGCTGGTTTCAACAATCTCTTGACTAGCTGAAGAGGCAGTAATGAAAAATACGCGAACCTATCAGATAAGTGACTATTGAAAGAATTCAAACTCATGTTAACTAAGCTTGAAACATTCTGGAACAGATTTCTATTTGGCAATTCTTTTTTGTGCAAAAAAAGAGGATAAATGCAGTTTGCATCATAGAAAACCTTATTGCCCAAATTGGCTCATATTAAGAGGATTACTCATTTTCAGAGGCAGTTCTTTATATAGCCAAGGTTCTGTTTGGCACTTTTTTGTTGCAGCAAAAGAGGATAAGCATGCAGTTTGCTTCAGAAAACATTATTGTTGAGTGGTGGCTCATATTCAGAGCATTTACTCATTTTCAGAGGCAGTTCTTGATATAGTCAAAAACCTCCCAGCTGGCTTTGTGGAGCAGGCACATTGCCGAACCTTATCAAAAAGTTATTTTCCTTCATTCACTATTGCTTTTAGTTTTACATGTGTGCATGACATGGGTGACTTCCAACAATTATGATAACCGAAATCCACATCACCTTGAACAGTTATTGGAAAAGAGAAAAATATCTACTGAATTAAAACTCACTAGGAGTTGAAGCAAACCAAATAATAAGAATTTCAAGCTAGAACTTAGATACTCGAGCAGAAGTAAAAAAAAAAAAAATTGAAAAGGCTCAATGCAAATTACAATTTCAACAGCTGAGCCTAAATAGTAAAACAGTTATGCTCATCTCTTACACTCATATAACTGTCTAATTTACTCTATTAATCCCAAAGATGAATAATGAAGATATTTGTCCACTTTATTTAACTTATTTTTCTAGAAAGAAATGAATAGGGAAAAGAAAAGTTTATGTTTCAACGAATCACACATAGAGATATTGATAAAAGCATCTCTTGTAAAATATGAGCAACACCAAATCCCTCTAGAGACCAAACCTCCAGAAATACTCACAAGAAATATGCGTGCCTCTATTCAATGCTGTAACTCCGAAACATTGTGCCAACTTTTCCAATAAACCATAATTCATCTACTAAAATATTTACCAAATGATTCTTCTATAATCAATTTTTACCTAATTTTACAATATGACTCATTATTCATCTGTACACCTTTCAAAATTGCCGAAACAAAGAAATTAAATTACACGAACAGACTATCAAATCAACAAAAGATGATAATGAATAAGAACAGACTAACGAATAGATTACCAGTGCTGTGTAGATGACAGAGCGCGTTCCGGTAAGTTTGCGGGAAATTCAACGGCCACTGAACTCGCGAGGAAGATGAAACTGAAGCTAAGCCAGAAACTTCCCATCGAAATGGAGATATTAAACGATGGCGGATAAAGAGAGAAAGAGGACACTGAGAAATTGGATTTGAGGAATAAAGAAGCGGATTTCCGTGCATGGCTTCTTCCCTGTTCAGTTTAGTTAGTCTCTCTAGTAGACAGTGAACCAGAGCATCATGATAATTCACTGCGTTCCAGAAAAAAGAAAAAAGAAATAAATAAAATAGTTTAAAATAATTTAAACTATTAGATTAATTTTTTTTTTAATTAAAAAAATATACTTATTTAAAACAATTATGATAATTGATTTATTATTTTATCTAAATTTTCATTATTTCAATATTTATTATTAACTTTAAAATATAATAAATTTATTTGTTTAATTTTACTACATATTATACTTTTTTACTAATAAAATTAATTTTATATAACTTTATTGGGCCGGAATCAGATGTAGGTGGGCTCAGCCAGATCCTCATGGTGATCCAGTATGCGTATTTAGCCCAAAAGAGAATACTACCAAGGATCGCACGTGCGTCATCATCCACGAACAATCATCCTGAACCGTTGATTTTACTGACCAGCTCCCCAGGTCAAATTCCACCCCCCCGGCCCCGAACCAAATAGCGAAGACTCGTGAGTAAAAGAAAAACCCTAATCATAACTATACCTCTATATAAGCCGAAGCTGCACTGCACAACTCAAACCTCGGCGGCGTAGTGAGAAGTCGTATATCGGCTGTAATCTCTCTCTAGCTATATTGATCTCTGCCTGATTTCTATTGTTTATAAGCTGTTGATATGCATGTGTTATTGAGGATTGCTTTTGTCTGGGGATGTCTTGCAGAGGAGGAGGAGGTTAGTAGAAATGGCGGTTCCATTGCTGTCCAAGAAGATCGTGAAGAAGAGGGTTAAGAAGTTCAAGAGGCCGCAGAGCGATCGGAAGATCTCTGTCAAGGTATATACGATTTGAAGGTCGCTATCAATAGCTATACTGATTTCTTTGAAGTGTTTTCTCGCTCTGTTAGTTCTTTTGTTGCTTTGAGTTTTTTCATTTTGCTGTACTTTTGGTTCGGTTCATCAGGGAAATGATGATATAGTTTGTCGCCCCAGTCTTATTTGCATTTTTCAGATGCAAAATGGTGAACGACATCTTTGTCTGATTCTTAACTTTAAATGAATAGATACTTTGAAGCATATCTCTGCGTGGTGCTTTGTTTTTCCTTCTTTTGAATTTATTTTACTATTGTTTTTCAAGTTCAATATCTATTTATCATGGAAATTATGATTGCTTTTCACTCCAGTCTGGTCTGATGCATGTGTTTAGTAAAATACGGCAATTCAATGATTCAGTGTTTGATCCTTTAGGTCTACATGAGTAATTATATTATATTTAATTGTTCCTTTATACTTGCTTATAATTTCTAATCCTGTTGGCCTAAAGTATCAATTTTTAGAGGGGTTTTGCATTAAATCTTTTTGTGAGACCCGTGATTTCTTGCGTTTATTTTGTTTGTTTTCCTGTTGATTTTACAATGAATTTGAAGTGGAATGGACGTGATGAGAGCTTTTGACACCCAGTCTCACTTGCTTCTCTGAAGGGGCAGTATGGTGAGAAAGCACAAAATTTCTGATCCTGTTGGCCTAAAGTTTCAATTTTAAAGGGGTTTTGCGATAAATCTTCTTGGGAGACCTGTGATCTCTTGTGTTTGTTCTTTTTTCTTTGTTTTCCTTTTTATTTTACAATGAATTTGAAGAGGAATCGACATGATGATAGCTTTTGACACCCAGTCTCACTTGCTTCTCTGAAGGGGCAGTATGGTGATAAAAGCATATGATATCTGATCCTGTTGGCCTAAAGTTTCAAATTTCTAAACGGGTTTTTGGTCAAATCTTCTTGTGACACCTGTGATTTCTTGTATTTCTTTTTTTCCTTTTTTTCATGTTGATTTTGCAATGAATTTGTAGTGGAACGAAATGATGATAGCTTTTGACACCCAGTCTCACTTGCATCTTTGAAGGGGCAATATGGTGAGAAAGCATTTAATGTCTGATCCACTCATCTTGTTTGCAAGAAGTGTCAATCTTGATTGTAGAGTCATTTTGCACTTTTAACTTCTTTAAGTTTAAGGATATAAGGAATGTGATGATCTTATTTTTTACACCCACTTTTACATTCATCATCTGATGGAAGATGGTGACAGATTTTGATATTTTATCGGACCCATGAAAAGCAAAATAGCAATAGATTTTGTCAGAATTTCCTTCTTCCCATAAGATTAAATGTCTAACTAGGTATGATAAAAGAGGCATGAGGATGCTTTTCCATCAGTTCTGCAATAGAATGATGAACATCAACATGCACTACCATCTGACCTCTTTTGCATACTTAAATTTGTCTATTTTTCTGAATCTCGACTGAGTTCTATATTTTTTTAAGCATTTTATAATTGATTATTTTCAAGTTATTTTAGTTAACCTATTTCATTCTGTGATGCAAATTCTTCTTTAGCTTATTAACTGAGTTCTAGTTTTATTTCTTTGGTGTTGTCTGAGTTAATTTCCTGTCTTTTTCCTGTCTCATGGTGGTGATGATGGGGAGTAATAATGTAGAAAAAGTTGTCCATGTTATCTGATGTCTTGGATTGTAAATGTAGCTGGCCATATGAAAGGCAGAAATAAAAAACTTGTCTAACAAAGATGGTGACTTTTGAATAATGAGTCTTCTGTTAATAAAATCCTGCTTGCAACTTACTAGTCGTATTAGCCAATTTTGTTCGTTAGTGTAATATTTGTGCTCTTGGTTGTAACTACACCAGCCTTTTTGTTTTTTATAGAAGGTGCTAACTAGATGCAAATTTAACGTGTTTTGTTTTACCTTGGGTTCACATTGTTTTAAGTTTTAGTCGTTTGCTGAATCATATGTCTAGTAGATACCATATAATTATCTGTCGTAGTGCATTTTCTAACTGTTTTTTTGTTGCATGGTACAGGAGAACTGGCGGAGGCCCAAGGGTATTGATTCCAGAGTACGTAGAAAGTTCAAGGGATGTACCCTGATGCCCAACATTGGATATGGCTCTGATAAGAAGACCCGCCACTATCTTCCTAATGGTTTCAAGAAATTTGTTGTGCACAATGCCAAAGAACTTGAGTTGTTGATGATGCACAACAGGTAATCTAAAGTTCTTTCTATATGCAAAAATAAACAAAACTAATTATCTTGCTGGTTCTTATTCTTATATGGTTTTCTCTGTTGGACAATTGTGGGGATCAGGACTCACTGTGCTGAAATTGCTCACGATGTATCCACAAAGAAACGGAAAGAGATTGTGGAACGAGCTGCTCAACTGGATATTGTTGTCACGAACAAGCTCGCCAGGTTGCGTAGCCAGGAAGACGAGTGAGAATACAGTAGGATTGGTTATGTTTACTAATCTTGGATGTCTAGTGTTGTCAATTTTGGATCTTTCTTTTTTCATTAGTATACTTGAATGATATTCTTCAGTTTCTGCTTGGAAAATCCTTTTTTATCATTAATATTTTGTTTATCTCAAGTCTCAGAGGCAATTATGAACTCTATAGCGTCGATGAGACTTATTTCGGTTTTAAATAGTTTTTTTTTTGTGGGATTGATTGTTCTTTTAGAAATTTGAAGTTTTTTTTTTCAGTTTTGAATTGGTTCTTTTAAGAAATTAACTGCTTTAAAAAATTTCTAAAAGCTTTAATGATCATTCAAGTCAGGTTTTTTTGTTATTAGAATAAGGGATGAATTCTTATAAATCCGTCCTTTAAAGAAACTGGATATGATAATTTTTCATCATCCAGTTCGAGGAAGAAGGAAATATATTTAAAATATATATATATATATATATTAATGATTCTACTATGTAAAAAATAAAGAATTTCCATGATTAGTACGAGGTTATTTTTCTTTTTGTTAAAAGTTATTTCTTTTTTCGTCGAAGTTATTCATCTTTTTGTCTGTAATTACATTTAAATTATTATATACAATAATTATAATAAATTTATATGTAGGTTTCTGATAATATCATGGGTAATCAGCTTTTTTTTTCTGATTTTGCATTAAATTAATTTTTATATTTTCAACAAAGAGTTAGCAAGTTCTTTGTTAATGGCTAGAAATCACATGTTATTGTATTTTATTGGGTAACTTTTTAAATAAAATATTAAGTAATATTTTATATGAAAAAATTTTAAATTTAAACAGTATATATATCATAACAAAGATATTAAACTTAAACCGGTTTTAAAAAATAAGACTTACTTGAACCAATTTAAAAAAAATAATAAAATAATACTAATTTAGAAACTAGAACCCGAGATCTTAAATACACACAAATCTCCAAAGTTTTTTAATGTTCTTAATCTCGACACGATTCTATAATCAACTAAATAAATAAGAACAAAAAAAGATGAGTAAATAATCACCTCCAAACTCTCATTGTACGCCCATATTTAGCATTTATATATTTTATAATTGTTTTATTATTAGTTAT